GAAGCTTATTCATTGCTGGTCATTAAGTACTTGAACTGGCGGTGATAGCCGCACATTTAATCTCTTCTACACACGTGCGTAGAACACTCAGGAGTAATTTGACGCCAATTTTATACCCTATGGCCCTGCTGTGAAGGAGCAATAGGAGTCCAGCAGCGCATGTGTAGGCTTACTACTATACGCCGAAGCCACAGTCATTACTCATTTGTCGCATTTGATGTATATTAATCAAACACAGTTGCTTGTGGAACTATTTCCGCCGAGTTAGAACCCTGTACTCCAGTGGCAGTAAACTAAGTGCACGCCGATACTTATTGAATTTGCTTCTCTTATAGGAATTTCTCTATATATTAACCAAACAAGTTCGTAAAAGATGTGCAAAGATTCCTAATTTGTCGAAAGCAGTTGTCAAAATGTTTCTGCAGTGTTAAGTACGTTTGAATGTTAAACACGGTTAGGAGTCGGTTTCGGTATTGGTTAAGATTATACCACCTTGTATAGATAGTTCTCTTTTGACAATAGCCCAGGAGTATTTAAGCTAGTATATAAATCTCGAAACTTCCTAAGTACTTCTTTAAAGTTCACCTTATAACCCGTAAAGGAATATCATGATGCAATATTATGAGGAATATCATGAGGAACATCGATGCCCTTGTGCGCCGGTGTTCAACTGGAATATTGCAAACCCCAACATCCAGAAAGGCCACCGAGACCAATCAACTGCTAAATTTTAACAGCAATCATCCCATTTGTCAAAAACGTAGCTTCGTTCGTACTCTCTTCCAAAGAGTGGAAACACATTGCAGCACACCAGACGCCAGAAGAGCTGAAAAAAATACCTCCACGAACTCTTCCGAGCAAATGGATACCCAAATTCATCCGGCAAACAAAGCAGGCGCCGAATGAACAGACGACGGACAGTGCAACAACAACAACCCGAAATATGGAAAGCCATTCCCTACATAAAAGGGGTCTCCGAGGCAGTCTTCCGACTGTTGCAACCTGCTGGCGTAGGCATAGCCCATCGACCGCAGACGACAATACGCCGGCGCAAGATGCAACCTAAGGACAGACTGCCTCCTACAAAAACCTCTACAGTCGTCTACAAGATACTTTGCAACGAGGGAGACTGCAATTACGTTGGAGAAACAG